GTACTCTCGGGTCCTCTCGCCGCGCACGCCAGCCTCGTCCATCGACTCGATTCGGTGCATCAGCCGGATCATCTGCTGCCGCCGCTCCCGCCGCTCGTCGACGGCGGCGCGGAAGTCGGCGAGCGCGTCCGCGTCTTGGGGCGGGTGGAGGTCGGGGTTCTCGCCCCGCGCCAGCAGCGCCGCGCGGTGCCGATCGCGGTACTCTCGCCGCGCCTCCTCGCGCACGCGCCGCACCTCCTCCCGCCGCCGCATGTACTCTGCTCGCTGCTCCGCCCGCCTGCGCGCCGCCTCCGCCTGCGCGCGCGCAACCTCGGCCGCGTGCCTGCGGCCAGGGTTGGGGCCAGGGTTTGGGCTTGGGCCGAGGCTAGGGCCGAGGTTGGGGCCGGGGTTGGGGCCGAGGTTAGGGCCGAGGCTAGGGCCCGCTTGAGCGCGCGGTGTCGCGCCCGCGCACCTCGCGCGCCGCTCGGCGGCGGTCACCTCGTCCTCGGTGGCGTGCAGCTCCGCCCAGTGCGCCTCTCCCGCGGCCGTGGCGGTCGGCACCCAGCGGGGCCACATCTCGATGGACGGCGCAAACCAGCCGCACTGCGGGCACGCGTTGTTGACCGGCGCGGAGGAGCCGGGCCGCCGCTCGCCGTGGTGGGCGAGGAGGTCGTTGCACGCCTCGAGCTCGACGGGCCCGTACGAGCACCGGCCGCACATCCGCCCGTTCGGCACGAGGAGCGCCAGCTCGGACCCCTCGGCCAGCACCTTCTCCACCTTGCGCGCGATCGGCAGCAGCGTCTTGCCCTCCAGGTACGCGCTGAAGGCGCCCTCGCTCGCGTGCTGCGCAATGTCGCGGTCCGAGAAGGCCTCGGCGCTGCACCCGTACCCGCGGAGCGGGCAGCAGCACGCGCCGGCGAGCGCGTCGAGAGCGGCGGCGTCCCCCGAGACGCTGGCCGTGTCCGCCTTTGCGGCAATGTACGAGACGCCCTGAAGCTCTACCGCCTTGGTCGACACGTACGCGCTCAGGCAGGACGCGTGCATGGCGTGGCCCTCCGCGCAGGCGAGCACCGGCAGCCGGCCATCCTCGTCCTTCTCCTCGAGGCAGATCACGCACAGGAGCGCGGCCTCCTCGCGCGAGCGCTTGGAGCCCACGCCCTCCGCCCCTCCGCTGCACACGGCCTCCGCCCCTCCGCCGCACACGGCCTCCGCCCCTCCGCCGCACACGGCCTCGGCCTCCACAGACGCCATGCGAGATGGACTGTGGCTATGCCAGGTCCGGCGGAAGCCCAACGTAAGGCTGTGAAGACTGTGAAAGCAGGTCTTTACGTGAAAGCAGGTCGGATGTCGTAACACGATGGCCGAACGGCACGATGGCCTGCGAATGCTCATTCACAGCGATGCCCGAGGGGAATTCGCGTGGAAATTCGATCCGCCGCGACTCTGGGAGGGGTCCTTTATCGGGAAGGAGGTAGGTTTACTCAACACGCCCCCACGACGCAGCACGAGGTTGCTGTTGTATATCCGATACCGCCGTGTTTCGAGGTAGGGCAGGCGTTCCGGGACGCGAGTTCCCCCGGGTTACCTTGGGCACTATTTTCGATCTTTTTCGTAGCCGTTTGCCGCTTGCTTGTTCTTGACGTCGTTGACCCAGTTGGCACGCTCAGGGGAGTTGACCCAGTTGGTACGCGTCTTGCGCGCCTACTTTTTAATAGTATCGGCATCACCCGCCACAAACCGCCGCCATGAAGATCTGGGTGGGCGGTAAGCCGTCATTGCCCGGCGCTGCTTGCAGCGCTCTGGGTGGTAGTGGCGGCGCTCCAAGAGTGGTGCTCTTGGGAAGAGGTTCCTCCTTTCCGCTCCCCCCCGCAAGGCGCGAGACACACAGATCTACTGATGACACCGCCGACCACCGCTTCCTTTTAAACGACGGGTACCAAATCGAGGGGTCCCGTACCACGCGGAATCGACCCTATCCAGTGTGCTCAAGTGCTCAATAATAGAGGAGCGAAAATCAGATTGTTTCTTGCTAAGGCGCCTAAGTGACGGTTGGCATCAACCGATCTGCTGCGTGTGGTGGAGTTGGTGCCCACCGCTTCCTTAAGAAAGAAATAGCAAACCCTGTCAGCAGTTCACCCTCGGGTATGTTCGTAAGAGCTAAGTATATCTGAAAATCGTGGCGCCTGCATCTCATCGAGCTCCGACCGCCGCTCCGAGCTGTCATCACCAATCGTGAGCACAACCTAGGCTTGGATGCTGAGCCACCTGAGCCACAGAGGGTGCCGCGCGGCGACGTGGCAAGCGCGCATCGTGCGATTCAGCCCCGCCGTCAGCAAGCCGGTCGCGATCAAGCCAGATTCGCTCGCGCAGTCCCGCCGCCGATCCACCACGTCCACGTCCTCGCAAGAACAAAAAAACGCTGGCTTCATCCTTGACCTCGGAACTAAGGAGCTCATTCCCGAGTGGAAAAAGATGATTGCGCCGTCGACATTCGTGACCGACGTGACGGCGGGCGTAACAGTCGGCTGCGTCGCGGTGCCGCTGTCGCTGGCCATTGCGGTTGCAAGCGGTGTTCCGCCCGAGGTGGGGCTTGTTAGCGCAGCGGTGGCGGGCGTCGCCGGCGGGCTGATGGGAGGCACGACGCTCGCCATCACGGGCCCGGCCGCGGCGATCAGCCTGCTGGTCTGCGAGGCGGTGCAGACACACGGTCTCGGCACGCTCCCCTTCATCACCCTCGCGTGCGGCGGGCTGCAGCTGGCGATGGGCGTTGTTCGCGGAGGCGGCATCACCAAATACGTGCCGGAGAGCGTCATCGCGGGCTTCACGACCGGCATTGGCGTCATGATTCTGGCCGGCCAGCTGCCAAAGGCACTCGACCATCGCCCTCCAATCACGTCGAGAGGAGGTGCTCCCTGGGTGATATTGACCCAGCCTGTTGTCTCTAGGCGCTCGACCTGACACTGCCCGCCGGCCTCAACACCGTCGAGGTGGTGCAGGCCGTGGGCGCCAACATCTTCAAAATCAACCCCGCCGCCTTCGCGCTCACGATCGGCGTGATCGGCACGATGCACGTCATTCCCAAGATCCACCCGAAGATACCGTCGGCCCTCGTCGCAGTCGGCGGAGCCACGGCCACAACGAAGCTGCTCGGGCTCAGCGCGACCTCCATCGGCGCGCTGCCGAGTGGGCTCTCCGCCTTCACGCTCAGCATGCCGACCCTCCCGCCCGTCGAGTCGCTGCCTGCGCTCGGCGGCACCCTCCTCCTCCACTGACGCCAAGACGAGCCTCGTCGAGCGCTCTCCCCGAACCTCTCCCCACCTTGTCATAGGCACCATCCTGCTCATCTACGCCATGACGAGTGCGGAGACGCTCCTCTCGTGCACGGCCCTTGACCGGCTGCGGCCGACCTCATACAAGCACAACCCCGACCAGGAGCTCTTCGGGAGGGGATCGCAAACATGACTCTCGGTTGTATCTCGGCTGTATCTCGGCTGTATCTCGGCTATAGGAGCTCATCGGGCAGGGCGTCGCCAACATCACGTCGGCTGCTTTCATGGGCAGCCCGTTTAGACGGACTTCCAGCCGTTTCACTGTATTCGCAACCCTTCTATCCACGCGAGGGCGCAGGTAGGTGTAGGGTGGGGTCCGTTCTCGTGACTCTGGTGTATCCACAACGTAGGCATGCCCGTCACCGCCGTCATCGCGCGCTCGAGCCTCAACATCAAGCTCAAGGCGAACTCCCGCCTCCCCGCCCTCGTCCAGTCGGCTTTCGTCTTTGGCTCTCTCGCGCTTTACTCGGACGTCATCTCGGCGGTCCCCCTGTCCGCTCTCGCGGGCGTGCTCATCTCGTCGGGTGCCGGGATGCTGCAGCCCGCTGAGCTCAAGAGCTGCCTCGCCGACGACAAGTACAACATCGGGCCGTACCTCGTCACCACGGGCGGCATGCTCACGATGGGCATGGCGGAGGGCATCGTCCTCGGCTGCGCCTCGTCGGCCGCCAAGCACCTCGTGCAGCAGCACCTCCTCGCCGCCGGCGGCGGCGGCTGGGTGGTCCACGCTGATGAGGCCCCCCCCAAGGCGCCAGTCCCCTCGCCCGGCACGCGAAAGGAGGCCTGACTTGCCAGGGCGGCAGGTCAGCGCACGCTACGTACGTGTACGTGTGGTGTCACCGGCGCCGATTCCGGTGAACGCCCTGCGGTCTGAGGCCGCGCAGCCGGGATGCTCTCTCGTCGGGCTCGGGCGGTGGTGCCTTCTTTATAGGCGCCCTTGACCCAACATTGAAGGTACATATAAAGGTAGGGGAAGGGAGCGGGGGGGGCGCCCAGCATCACAGGCGAAGACGCTCAAGCAAGCAGTGTATCGACTCAGCAACAGATAGGCAGCGCTGACAGCCGCGTCACGGTCTCGCCGCCATGGGGGATGGGGGGTGCAGGGCAGGGGGGGGGGGGGGGGGGCAG